CAACACAATAATGAACATAGTTTTACATTTTTATTCAAGACACTGTTTAAGATTACATTAAGTTGTTTGAATTTCAGCCAAAATAAATGACCAATACTATCTTATTTTCCGTACCTTTAATACAATATTTATTGTTTCTCTTAAGTCCTAATATTCTGCCACTATGTTCAGATGTAAATTGAGATTAACAATAAAATTCTCTGGTCCACATAAGAATAATGTTACATATTACTTTATCAATCATTTTCCTGAGTAGATATTTCATCAGCTTTTGAGACCTTAAACTTGAGTTTCTTATTTAATGTCTATTTTGATGACAATCACCTTTATATACTAGTGCTATGTCTATGAAAAAACATGTATGTGAGAGTAGACATTTTTATTTTGCAGAAATTTACTGTTTCAACACAGTATCAGATGACTATATCTGAAATTGTTTTGTATATCCTAGCCAGTCCTTAAAGAGAATAAAGCAAAGATACTTTCAAATATCATGGATATATTCAATAAAGAACTATTTCACACCAGCCATTGGGTCCTTAAAACAGCTTTCAACATGATCATTTCATAGAGCTCTGGCAATGCTAAAGAATGCTTGGATTATGAGTTAGTCTTCACCATAGAAACACAAAGTTTAGAGAGTAGCATGAACTAAACTTTTATCAATGAGTTTTCTTTCATTGTTGAGCATAGCATGTTATGGGACATTGATCACCAAGTTAAAGAGGCAAACAAAATTCCCAAATTATCCTTGGATATTGGAAAACATGAGTATAACCTCATTCAACAAAGAAATTTTGAAAGATCAATTAAAGCAAAATTACATTTGTATTATTTTTTCTCTCAGCTAATCAAGTTTTGTGAAATTTTTCTTTTCTTATAGCCTAGGAAAACTGATGAATGGCTTTTGATAATACCTAGCTAGTGTTCAATTCCTAATTTTACAAAAGCTTGAAGTAAATTACCTTCAAGCACATAGAGCTAGTTTAGGGCCAGTCAGGATTAAAAATCCCATTTTAAACTCATAGAGGAAAGATTTCTTACTATTCCACATTGTGTAGAAGAAAAGATCAACAAAAAGTTCAACATTATTAGAGTAATGATCTTTGTACAGAAACCCTGATGAGCTAGATAATTTACATATGCAGATGACAATAAGCTTCTCAAAGATACTGTCAAAAGACAGGAATAGTCTTTAAGAGGAGGGCAATGAATATATTTAACTCATCTGCAAGCAATGAAGATCACTGAGGTTAAGAATTGTAGCAGAGCAATACGGAAGCTTGCCCTTAGCAATAGGCTGATTCAACTGATGAATAATTGAACTAATGAAACACTGTATGTTAATTAATTGAATTTAAATACATTTTTAAGAAAAATATAGGCTGGTTCTCTCCAAATATAGACACTGTCTAAAATTTAGCCTACAGTTCAGAGCTGATAACAATGTCAAACCTTGAAAACATATTTTAGACAATGAACTGAATCCTTTATGCTCATCTGATAGGTTCTTTATGGGTAACTTGAGAAACATTAAACAACTAGTGTGATTAGGTGATAAGTGAATACTTGATTAACTTAATTGGAAGTCTAAAAAAATCTACTTGGACTCATTACAACAAAAGATGCTGATATTTTACTGAAATGTTACTTTTATTATAAACACACATATATATGGTGGAAGTTGTGGAGTAAAGAAGATGACAAAATCTAAGCTTTAAGTAATGATGTATATGAAAAAAGCATTTGGTAAAATATCAGAAAACTGAATTTTGTCATTAATTAATTAGTTCCTTATTTGTTTTAGTTTCTTTAACTATGAACAGTGGTTTTATCACCATCTCTCAGGGCTTTTCCCGCAAGATACTATATGACTCCTGAACTTTTTTATATTAATGAAATAGTCACATCATAACAAATATCATGAGTATAAGAAGATTTGATAGGGATAAATAAAAATTAAGAATGCCATTAATAATCTGTATTAATATCTAATAGTTATAACTGAAAAGATTCTTCAGGATTAATTTGAGGACTTTGTCACAAAATAGTTAATTAACAAAATCAAAATCAACTCAATACAATAAATATCTATTGAGTAGATTCAAGATATTTTTAAGACATAGGCCCTATTTTGAACATACTCTAAATGGCTAAAACAATACAACCTATTGATCAATTCTTTTCTTTTTTTTTTAAAGATTTTATTTATTTATTTGAGAGAGAGAGAATGAGAGATAGTGCGAGAGGGAAGAGGGTCAGAGGGAGAAGCAGACTCCCCGCTGAGCAGGGAGCCCGATGCGGGACTCAATCCCGGGACTCCAGGATCATGACCTGAGCCGAAGGCAGTCGCTTAACCAACTGAGCCACCCAGGCGCCCCATGATCAATTCTAAAAATAAAATGTCAGCACACACATAAAAGAAAATTTCAATGTGTAAATATGTGTAATAATTTTAGATCCTATACCTTGCTGCATTTAAGCAATGCTCTCATAACTTTCTTGAAAAAAATAGAAGCTAAAGAACTATAAAAGAAATGTATCTGGTTTATAATGTTGAAAGAAATAGAACTATAAGATTTAGGGATATATTTGCAAAAGATAATGAATTCTCCATTGAAAGGGCAATAGACATTTCCTCACCTCCTTTTTCTTATAAGTGCAAAAATATAGAGGGAATAGGAAATTGTTTATGGTAGAAAGAGCTCAGAAAAATACTTAGGATTTTCATGGGTTTCTGGAGAAGAAGGAAATATTAGCAAGAGGCACACTTTGGCTTAGTTTTAGTTTTTACTTCTGTAGCTGACATTAGAGATAGAGTCATCCATTCAGACATCCTTCTAGTTGCTTTCTTTTGCTATAGAAACCTGAGCAATTATAGATAGAATAATAGAAGTTACTCGTTTTTCTTCCCTGAGAAGGATGCTGAATGGACAGTTTTATTATCTGGAAGTTGTTGCTGGTTCTTTGCAAGCTTGCTTTACAGATGGATACACTTGGTGCCACAGGGATGTTATGGATATTGATCCTGGTATTTTAAAATCTAGGGTGTGACAGAGATTCACAGTGTCTGAACCAACTGGTGAGAGCAGAACAGACTTTCATGTATTAAGGCCAACTTCCTTATTATTGCCCTGTTCTTCAGTGAAGAGACATAAAGAAAAAAAAAATGTGTGTGTGTGTGTGTGCATGTAGCATGGATACAGAGTAAGGGACTCCTATAAAGAAAGTAGAGGAAAATGATACAGAAATAAACTAAAACTGTTTAGCTAAAATAGCAATGTCTGGTTAAGTATCATTGGTAAGATTACAAAATAGGGTTAGAGTAAAAGTTTAGTATCAGTGAAACCTCCCATCTATTTGTTTCAACTTACAATAATGTTTTTGAATGTTTATAGTTCCAATTTTAATATAATTTGCAAAATTCTGTATTTATTATTTATTAATATGAAAGCAGTGATATAAGCCTACCTCATTTATCATTTCTAATTTCTTAGTAGCTTTTATGATATTGAAAGAAACTGGCCCTAGGGGAAAAGCCATGCCATTTGAAAACTTTTTCACAAAGAATATGCAAATATATGAACTTATTCCCAGAAATTTTATTTTTTGCTGTGTTTTGTTTGTATAATTCTTATAAAATACAAAGTCAGACAATTTACAAAATGTTACATTATGCAATCTTGAGCTCAAATATGGAGAAAACATATGGATTAACGTTCTGAGGGACATGGAAAAAAGAATATGAGAAGTGAATAAAAGTTTGGCAGATGGAGCTATAGTAAGTCACTAAAGGTTGGAAACCATGAAAATGCAGAAGCTATTGGTACAGTGCTATGAATTTCTCCAGAAGCCCTTAGCAGTCCAGAATTAAAAGGAGAAAGCAGATGGTGGCATTTTTTTTTCTTGATTGATTGATTGATTGGAGAGGGGAAGCAGGAGGGATAGAGGGAGAGGAAAAAAGAGATTTTTTTTTAAAGACTATTTATTTGACAGAGAGAGACAGAGAGAGAGAGGGAACACAAGCAGGGGGAGTGGGAGAGGGAGAAGCAGCCTTACCCTCTGAGCAAGGAGCCCGGTGCGGGGCTCGATCCCAGGACCCTGGGATCATGACCCAAGCCGAAGGCAGATGCCTAAAGACTGAGCCACCCAGGCACCAGATGATGGCATTTAAATAGGTTCAGAATCAAGGCAAGAAAGAAAAAAAAAAAAAAAAAAAAGAATAAAAAAGATGGACACTTATTCTGGCAAGACTAAAACCAAGATTTTCTCCAACCACATTCCTTCCAAGTAGAAAGATTTACTACCTAAGTCTACTTCTGCCCTGATACTTGGCAAACCCAACTACAATGCCACGTTTGATGAACAAAAGTTGGCCAGAGAGAACTTTAAAGGTTATACATTTGCCGTGTTTCTAAATTTTGTGAATCTAGGACCAGTTCTGTGATAGCCTTGCAGATTTTGTTAACATTTTGGATTTTCTTCTTCTAAAAAAAGAAGACATGAAAGACTTAACCAATGAACTAGTTCAAATTTCACTGTCTTGAAGGCACCACATCCAGTCCAGAAAAGGACAGTCCAGACTGCAGGTTGGGGGAAATGTGTGAGGGGCCTGGAGCAGAGACCAAGCTGAATTAGAACTGCAGAGAATGAGGACTGATGCTGGGTTTTAGTTAAATAGGACACCTTTGGTGATTTTGGCTTTGATTCCTTTGGGTTCCAAATGAAACATTAAAAACTTCTTCAATTTAAAAAAATGAATTTTTATTTCTTCGAGTTCTGCGTTATAAAAAATTCTTTAATTTACTCTCAGGAGATTTAGAAAGTTCATATTCTATTAAATTACAAAAATGTAAATTATATATATATGTGTGTCATATATTTTATACTCTGTAAGGGTTTTCCTTTTCTTTCTTTTTTTTTGAAACCCTTATGAATCTAAATTGACCCTTTGTTGGGAATGCTGATTTTTGCTCATGTGCTTTTTTTTTTTTTTAATTTCAGGGAAAATGCAAACACACTCCCCCACAATCCATAAATTATGCAGTCGAGTTTCGCACATTTAGGGAAATAGCAGGGGTCAGCACATCCGGAGTGCAATGGATAATCCTCGCCCTGGGAAAACCACTTTCGTGATCATGGTATCTCCCCCGCCAGGTAAGTATTGCTCATGTGCTTTTTAACATCACAGCACGAACAATTTTACCTGAGGAGTTTATGTATGGATTCTGTTTAGTCCTAGTGGAAAACTTGCCTCTGTAGAGTGCTTTGCATTTGCTTTTCTGAGTACACCAGGAGTATAGGTATTCAAGGACTGATTATGATAGTTTCTCAACTTGGGCATTCTGTACCAGTGAGCAGGGCATAAATTCCAACTTCAAAACCATGTGTGATATAGCTCATGGTTACCAATTATCTAGGGAGTTTGTTTTTTTTTTCATCCTAGAAACCGGGTGGTGATAGAAAGGTTTTGCCATCTTCCTTTGCTGATAGATAAGTTCTTTGTTTTGCCTAGTTCACTCTTTTACTAACTGTGGAGCCTATCAAGGCTTCCTGCTATATATGAGGGTCTAACTTCCACTCGCAGCTCGCATGGGCTCAGGTCTCACGTCCTTCCTCGGTGTGGGTGGTACAGCACAGACCTTTGGTTTCTAGTATAGTCCTCTGTTCCATGCAGAGTAGCCAGTAGATCCCCTCGACTGTGTGCTAACTGAACTGGTTTTTGTTCTTCTGTATTCCTGGCACCAAGGGTTTTAAGCTAATTTCATTTATTTGAAGCTTTGATCTTAAAGAAATGTTAAAATTATCGTTCTCATTTCTAGATATTTGCAATAGGAAGAATTTCCGGCTGTCTATTAACAGGTTGCTAGAGCCAAAATTTTTTATTGGGATATTATTAAATATTTAAACTTTAAAAAAGATTTTTTTCTACGTTAATTAGAGTTGACCTTTGAACAACATGGGGGTTGTTAGGAATGCCATCCCCTTTGCAGTGAAAAATCTACATATAACTTTTGACTCCCCCCACACTTAACCACTAATAGCTTATTATTGACCAGAAGCCTTCCTGAAAACATACAGTCAGTTAACACATGTTTTTTACTTTATATGTATTATATATTAATTATAAATTTATTATATATTTACATTATATATTATGTATTCTTCCGATAAAGTAGGCTAGTGAAAGAACAGGTTTATTAAGAAAGTCACAAGGAAGAGAAGATACGTTTGCAGTACTGTATTGTAAAATTCCGAATATGGAGCTCTGTGGCAAGCGAGGGGCCACACAGGCACAAAACCACATTGGCAGAGGGGACCTAGGACCTCCAGCAACAGCCATGCGGGGCCCCACATGGGCCAGGGCCAGGCCAGGTGGAGGAGGCCAGATGGGAGCCCTGCAAAGTGAAAGCTGAGGGCGTCCTCACTGCGGCCGCGAGTCGGGCCCCGGACAGTGGCTGGAGGAGCTAGCGCTGCTCCTTCGGCTGCCACCGCAGCTGCTGACCCTGCTGAACCCCAGTTCCCCTGTGGCCAAGCTGGACCTGGGTGACCAGCAGGAATACTGGGAGACATTCCAGAAGTGGCAGAGGCTCACCTTTGAGAGTACGTCAAGCTGCTGCTGAACAGCTTGGAATACTGGGGCTGAGGCTGCTGCTGTGGGGCAGTTTGCTTTGACGGTTGAGCCTCAGAAGACGTGCACATCTTTGACTGCAACTGCAGCGTTGGGAAGAGTCAGAGGAGGCACTTCATTATCGCTGCTTCTCGCTTCAAGCTCCTGGGTGCAGCCGGAGCATAACGGCATACCCAGTCTGCATGCACGAAGTACAGCACACCGTCTGTAGGACAGGTGGCTTTCAGAGCTTTGACGTTCTTTGCTCGAACCCTGGACACTTCTGAATTACCCCGGCCACCTGGCTGAGGGCACCGCCTAGAGTGTGGTCATTGCAGCATTCAGTGGCAGAGACTGGGAGAAGGCCGTGGAGGAGCACGAGACTGCCAGGGATGTGTCTTCAGAGTGTGTTCCAGCTTCTCCCTTGCGATGAAGGAGGAATGACTGGGGTCAGCAGTTTGTTGTCCCCGCTGCCCCTCAGTGGTGCTCATGAATGTGGCTGATCCATGCTGCTGGTTCCACCGGCTAGCGGCCTTCTCAATCTCTGCAGCTTGCTCCAGCTACCAGGGTCTTTTAGGCACTTCTTTGTCCTTCCTCAGCCCAAATTTTGATGTAGGCTAGTAGACCTCCTTCTTTCTCTTCCCAACTTTTATGGGGATCTTTTAGAAAAGTAAATATTTTTAACATTAAAGTAAAAAATCCTCCTGCATATAAGTGGACCCACACAGTGAAAAATATTAGGATTTATTGCGAGCCTACCATGTTCTAGGCACTCTCCTATGCAACAAGGATATAACAATATACCAGATAGTCATTTGTCTCCATTCAGCTTACATTCTGATAGAGAATTCATAACACAATCAAATTAAAAATAAGTATATACAGGCATGCCTTGGAGATATTGTGTAGTGTGAGAGTGGCCCTAGACAATATATAAATAAGCATGGCAGTGGTCCAACAAAAGTTTATTTATAAAAACAGGTGATGGGCCATATTTAGCCCATAGGTTTTCAGTTTTAGACTGATTATAATTTGTAGTCTGAGGCAGGACAAATTGTTTCTTCAAAAAGGAAAAAAAAAAAAGGAAGAAAAGAAAGAAGGAAGGAATCTTTGCTGTCAAGGCAGGACAGAGTATTCCAGGTAGAGGGATGACCACAGGTATTAACTTTAAGTTCATTTATTTTTAGTTTTGGTTCATTTATGGCAAAGGATTAAAGATTATACATCATTTTAGTTTCCCATTGTGATTAAACATTTTTGTATGAAATTCTCTCTTTTCAAAGCTTTCCAGATGGTTTAAGTCTTTATTTTTACTTATTAATTTTTTGGGCATAAGTTATTTAGGAATGGACTTTTTCATTTCCAAATAGTAAAGTTCTTTGTTTTGTGTCTTACAATTTAGTTTTTTAAATTTTAATTTATCCAGTATAGTTAACACACACTGTTATATTAGTTTCAGGTGTACAGTACAGTGATTAACCAATTTTATATATTGCTCAGTGCTCATCAAAATGAGTGTACACTTAATCCCCTTCACCTCTTTCGCACATCCCCCACCCACCTCCTCTTTGACAGCCATCTACTTGTGCTCTATACTTAAGAGTCTTTTGGTTTGTTTCATTCCCCACCCCTTTGTTTTGTTTCTTAAATTTCACACAGGATTGAAATCATATGGTATTTGTCTTTCTCTGACTGACTTATTTCGTTTAGCATTATACTCTCTAGCTCCATCCATGTTGCAAATGGCAAGATTTCATCCTTTTTATGACTGAATAATATTCCACTGTGTGTGTGTGTGTGTGTGTGTATCTCACATCATCTTTGTCCATTCATTTATCGATGGGCACTTTGGCTGCTTCCTTATTTTGACTACTACCAATAATGCTGCAATAAACCTGGGGGTACATATATCCTTTTGAATTAGTGTTTTGGTATTCTTTGGGTAAATACCCACTAGTGAGATTACTGGAACATAAGGTAGTTCTATTTTTAATTTTCTGAGGAACTACATACTGTTTTCCACAGTGGCAAGACCAGTTTGCATTCCCACCAGCAATGCAGGAGGGTTCTTTCTTCTCCACATCCTAGCCAATGTTTGTTGTTTCTTGTGATTTTGTTTTTAGCCATTCTGACAGGTGTGAGATGATATCTCACTGTAGCTGTGGTTTGCATTTCCCTGATGATGAGTGCTATTGAGCGTCTTTTCATGTGTCTGTTGCCCATTTGTATGTCTTCTTTGGAGAAATGTCGGTGTATATCTTCTGCTTATTTTTTAATTGGATTATTTTGTGTGTGTGTGTCGATTTGTACAAATTCTTTATACATTTTGTATACTAACCCTTTATTGGATATGCCATTTGCAAATATCTTCTCCCACTCAGTAGGTTGTCTCTTAGTTTTGTTGATTGTTTCCTTTGCTGTGCAGAAGCTTTTTATTTTGATATAGTCCCAACAGTTTGGCTTGGGTTGTTTCCCCTGCCTCCGGAGACATATCTAGAAAAATGTTATGGTCGATGTTAGAGAAATGACTGCTTGCTCTCTCTTCTAGGATTTTTATGGTTTTAGGTCTCACATTTAGGGCCTTTATCCTTTTTGAGTTTATTTTTGTATATGGTATACGAAAGTAATCCAGTTTCATTCTTTTGCATGTAGCTGTCCAGTTTCCCAACACCGTTTGCTGAAGATACTGTCTTTTTCCTATTGTATATGCTTGCCTTCTTTGTTGAAGATTAATTGACTGTATAATCATGAGTTTGTTCCTGGGCTTTCTATCCTGTTCCACTGATCTATGTGTCTATTTTTGTGCCAGTACCATACTGTCTTGATTACTACAGCTTTGTAGTAGAACTTGAAATCTGGAATTGTGATACCTCCAGCTTTGTTATTCTTTTTCAAGATTGTTTGGGCTATTTGGGGTCTTTTGTTATTCCATACAAATTTTTGGATTGTTTGTAAGTGGGATTGATTTCTTAATTTTTCTTTCTTCTCCTTAGAAATGTGACAGATTTCTATATATTGATTTTATATTCTGTGACCTCACTGAAGTCACTTATTAATTTTACTAGTTTTTTGGTGGAGTTTTTAGGGTTTTAATTGGAATGTGTTATGAGCAGATAATGTGTCTTCTAAACATTAGTTTTGGATGGGGCGCCTAGGTGGCTCAGTCGTTGGGCGTCTGCCTTCGGCTCAGGTCATGGTTCCAGGGTCCTGGGATCGAGCCCCGCATCAGGCTCCCTGCTCAGTGGGAAGCCTGCTTCTCCTTCTCCCACTCCCCCTGCTTGTATTCCCTCTCTCACTGTCTCTCTCTCTGTCCAATAAATAAATAAAATCTTAAAAAAAAAAACAAGACCACCATTTAAAAAAAAATAAAGACTTCATTTTAAACAAGTACAAAAATATTGAAATTATTTGTCAAGGCTTCATAAGCATGCACAAAAGAAAAGTATATGTTTTTACATGTGTGTACCTGAATGGATAGTATACACAAAGCTTATATAAATGTAAATATATGTTGCTAAATTCTAAATTTTTCTACTAAAATAAAATGTATTCAAA